GACGGTTTTTATAAAAAGCGTCATCTTTACATACAATAGACGACGATTTTTATAAAAAGCATCATCTTTACATACAATAGATGACCTTTTTTTTTATAAAAAGCGTCATCTTTACATATAATAGACAACGTTTTTTTTTATAAAAAGCGTCATCTTTACATACAATAGGTGACGGTTTTTATAAAAAGCGTCATCTTTACATACAATAGACGACGACTTATAAAAAGAGCCATCTTTACATGCAATAGACGACTTTACATACAATAGATGACGGTTTTTATAAAAAACGTCATCTTTACATACTATAGACGACGGATTTTATAAAAAGCGTCATCTTTACATACTATAGACGACGGGTTTTATAAAAAGCGTCATTTTTATATATAATAGACGACGGTTTGTATAAAAATCGTCATCTTTACATATAATAAACGACAGTTTTTATCAAAACAACAACGTCTTTACCAAAAAAATGACACTTGATTTTTAAAAGACGACGCTTGTTATACCTGCCATCGTTGTTTTTTGGTCAGATTTTAACTCTGAAGAAAACCTTTTTAATAAGACGACGCTTTTTTATTTGTGTGCGTCGTTATAAAAAAATATTCAACAGTACCACCGGTTTTTAGTTGTTTAAGTCACTTATCCATGACGATTTTTTGTTACCGTCATCTTTTTAAATACAACGACGGTTTTTTCTTCTACCGTCATCTTTTTCTGGTCTTCTTTTTCACTTTTTGTAGTAGTGGCAGGTTGAACCAACACTACTTCCCGAACACTAGCAGTAACTTCGTTAGAACCACTTCCTTGGCGTAGGAAACTGCTTGACAAGCCAAAATAATGTAATAGTGAGATATACAATCCAGATAATAATAGAAGTCACCTTATTGTCTCTAAGCCACTAATCAAGTAAACACACACATGGCCTATTTCTTATGACAACACAAAACAAAAGATTGGATATTCAGACTCAAGGCGGAGACTCACATATTTTATGTACAAAGAATTAAATTAAGGACAAGCTTGTAAAAAAAACATACAAGAAACAAGATGGGTTACAAGTAAAAGATCAAGTGCTTGGTCTTTTGTCCAACAACAACATATTATCCAACACTAAATAAGAGAAACACAACACAACCATAGAATTGGAGAAATGCAAACTTCACTCGCCTTTCAAATTGTCACAACCAAGCAGATAGAAGTTATAAGCTTTAACAAAAATAAAGTTCCACTTTTCAGAAAAGATTAAAATTGAAATGATGTAAATTACAGTATTCAGTAAGTAATTGGTATGCAATTTTAGAACTCAGTGGTTGCAGTACCTGGAGGATATGGAATGCAAAGTAAGGATGAGACTGGATCACACTACTTCTACCAAAGTCACATTCAAGGAAGGCTACACTGAAAACACGTCCAGTTTAAGAGTCTGCGATTGTAACCTCCACTTCCACACTAGGTTCAATTGTAATGGAAGTAATTTGTGTGACGACATCAAGAGAGCTGAAGAGGTCAATCACCCTCTTGTGGACACGCAACTCAAATCTGTCCCATGTGTTGGTACCTATAAATCACAAACAACATTTTAAAGATACATAACCTTTTAATAACTGGTCAGTCATGAATAGGCCACAGTAAGCAACAAATTTTACTTATGTAACTTGGCCAAACAAGAGAACTCCCAACTCTGATTAAATGGCCATAAAAGCCATAAGCCTTGCCTTGCCCATATAGCATCAAGCCATAAGTTAACAACAAGAACATTTCACAATGAAACATACACCACAAGGGGACTTCCTAGTGGTAATGTGTAGAACCTTGGTTGGCATTCTCACGTGTTCCTTAACCCAGAGCCTCTTGTCCTTCGAACCACGAACTAGATCAGTGCAAACTGTCAATATAACAGTGTCAGTCCAGCAGGCTAAAGAAATATAACAAGAAATTTGAATTCTTAATAATCTAAACAAACTTAAAAACTTGATGTAGAGACAATAGTGGATAAACCCATTTCAACGACGTCAGACAGCAATTAAGTACAAATGAAACTGAACAGTATTGAAGCTCATCAAAACTTTGCATTTACAGGATTGTGGAATTTGGAGAATACCAATGCGGGGGCAGAGGAGCAGCAGAGAGAAGAGGGAGGGTGCCATGGTTATAGTCTTTCAGCTTTGAGAGATAAGGCCTTTTCTGGATACCAAATTCATAAATAGGGGACTAAGATCATGGGACATATATAAGTCAAGCAAAATTTTGAAGAGCATAACGATAACCATAGAAGTTATAACGATAGAAGCTCATTAAAAAAAAAATTCTGAAAAGTTGCCTTAATTTCTATATATATAAATCGAAAGTATCTACAAAAATATAACAATTTGCCCAAATAATTTACAATTAAACACCCAAATATTTTAACTCTAAATATATTAGGGATATAGAAATTGATTCTTCAAAAATTATAGAAAATAATCCTAAGAGAAGGACCTGTGGAATAGAGGAAGGGAGGCTCTCATGGAGCCAGCTAGCAAGAGAGATCGCTAGAGAGAGACAACAAGAAAGAGAGCTCCGGCAAGAGAGAGCCATCGAGAGATAGACAATGACCGTCACCTCTTCGCCTCTGTCTCTCTGATTTCTTTTCTGTCGAAGAGGCTGTATGTCTTCTTGGTGGTGGTGTCAACCTCACGGCGTCAGTTTGCAAGTGTCAATGAAGTCTAGGATGAAGATGGCATCGATGGCGGCTGGTGATGATTGATGCGAAGAAGACAATAGGGTCGATGGCGTCGTGTCGTCGATGGCATCACGGCGCCCATGGCGTCAATGGCTAGCAGGCACGTATGAGGAGTAGAAAGGTGAGAGAGGGAGTGTTTCAGAGAGGGTTTCAAGGAAGGAGAGAGAAGAGCTCAGGAAGTTTCAAGAAGGGGGAGATAAGGTTTTCACATAGACGGGGAAATCTAGATTTTAGGTTGAGCTCGAATTCACTTAAGCGGCTCCTTTTGTTTAGTGTGTTTTAAAAGACGACGCTTGTTAATTGACAAGCGCCATGTTTTAAAACTCAACCCAAAACCGTCGTCTTTTTAAATACAACGACGGAAAACCGTTGTCTATTTTGAGTCATAGTTTAACTAAATTGTAGTAGTGTATTTTGCAATCACATAGAGAGAACTACGTGTGGCTTGAGCCCTTATTAAGGGTACATAGGCAACCTAGAGTTATTAGGTACAGCCGCAAGACCAAATAATTGAAAAGCTGTTCAGTTAAGTTATTTTGAAATCTGTTAATGTACTTATGTTGTTTTAAGGGTTGGGATCAATTTCAGTTGGCAGAACGATTTATCTGATTTAAAGAGGCCTGTCATGATAGGGTCGCAAAGTTTGTTTCACGCCAATGAGATTTTGAAATTTATGTTAGTAACTGAGGTATTTCTTTTATGCTTGAAATCTTGTTGAGGTTGTTAGTGATTGATTGAGAAATTCAAAATTTGAGGGAAGTTTATAAGTTCTTTATTATCATTCTCATTTGTGAGCCTAATATGATAATATTTGCATTATGTGGCGGCTGTGGTGTATATATCAGCCAGTTTATTTGTACACCTCTTTTTCTACTTATCCTGTTATGAATGTTATCATGTCAATATCTTTCGACTTTGATATGTGACATATGTTTGGTTGTATGAATTCCATTTTTGTACATGCTGAATGAAAGGGGATATTTAAATCGCTTATTGTATAAGTGAAAATTTTGCCGAATTTTCGGCGGAAGTCAAACTTGAAGAAAAAGAATTTAGGAAACTTAGAAGGGTATTTTGGTCAAGAGTGTCCGGCACCTGACAAGTGTCGAACACGCACGGGGTTCGGCTCATATTTCAAAGTGGAATTTGGGTCGGGTTCTGTCACACAAATGGTCCGGTGCGGTTTTGTAAGGTGTGAAACTGGCACTGGAACCGGTTTGAACAAGTCTGATTTGGTTTGGTGTCTGTTTGTTGACTTTTTAGTCAACACGATTTTTTTCTTCTGGTATGGCTCAATGTCTGGATTTTCAATCTCGGTGCCCACCCCTATTTAACATGCACTTCATCAGAAGCATCTTCAACAATTGGTGTACCAGGAAAATGCACATGGAGAATTCATGCTTAGGAGAACTCAAGCAAATTTCCTTAAGGCCCTGTATGGATTGAGGGATGTCAGAGAGGGAAATTTTTACATGTTCTGGGTACTCCAGCCAATATACATAGGACATGTAGTTTGGACTCTCCAACTTAATTACTACACAATTTTTTTAAAATAAAAATAAAATATATCTATACTTCCTATGTATATTGGATAGAACACCAACCAACTGGTGTATCCGGAATATGCAAAATTTTCTCCCTCCTCCAACATCCCTCAATCCAAACATGCCGTTATGGAAATTGGCTGGGGATTCTTCTAAGCGTGAATTCTCTGTGTGCATTCTTATTTGTCCCTCCTTTTTTATTTTATTGACCTTTCTATGATAAAAATAATAAATTACAAGCTAAAGCGAAAGCAAAGTGAATCAACTTGTAATTTACCTTCTTATAAAAAATAAAAAAAACTTGTAATATACCTTCTTTCCGTATCAAAAAAAATCAAATGGATCGACAATCTATTACTTACCATATTGGCCTCACTATCAACACAGTCCTTGGCTCTAGATAAATCGGCCTGAGGTTTCCTTCTTCCATTTGACCAACAAGATCTACAAGTGACACTGTTGATAACAAATCGGAAATGACCTTCAATTCCGAGACACCAAAAATCGCCACTAAAAGGTCCCCGCATAAATCTTGCATGTATGTCGCCCAATAATGGTTGTTTAGCCTAAGCTGGTTTCTTGAGCTTTATTTATATCTAAAATCAAATTACAAATACTAAAAATAAAAAAATCTTGGGGTTCAAATAATTTAACAACAATTTATTCAAATAGTTTTTCATTTCAGACTCCTTTATATACATATATATATATATATATGAACAAAGAATTCCTTGCCTCTGAATAGTGAGTATGTATGCCTCATTCTTTATTATTTTTTTAAAAATAAGAGAAATAATAATGAAGATTTAAAAATAAGAAAATAAAAGAAAAAATTGTGCCTCCTATCTCAAAACCAAGTTACTATTCAAATTCCACAATTTAGCTCTCATCCCTCTCGAGCACAATTTGTAATGATAGTGCAGCCACGTTGATAAGGATTGATCTGCCCAGATGTACCACAATTATAATAAGAACTGCCACGTCGATTGCATGGAACATTATCCTTCTTTAGGGCTTCATAGCTTATATACCTTGTGTTACCTTCATCTTGAGCTCTTACAGTTTGCAGGCCCTCCTGCTCGCCCTCCTCTTCTTCCTCTTTGTCCTCCTCCTCATTCAGACACTCCTCGCCCAATGAGTCCTTACATGCACGTGGTCGTGGAGTAGCCCCTTCTCCATCACCAGCATCACGCCTCACGCGTGTGAATTCGGTGGTGGCACGCCCACGCGAATACATGTTGGTGGTGTGTTGGGTTGATTCAACCACCATTGCCAAGGCCATCACAAGGAGAATAATTACTACAAATGTCATATAGTTGGTCATGACCCTAGATGAGAGATGAAGAGGGTAAAGAGAGGATGAATAGAATGAGTGTATATTTTGGAAGCTGAAGATGGATGAAGCTAATCTTGGTGAGTATAGTAGTTAATTAGGGTAGTGAGTTAATTTAATCAATCAATTCACTTGATTAAGCTTGTTTTGTGCTTTTGTGTGACGTATGTTGTGCGACGTGTCCGATTCTCCCAATTTATAGGCACCACTTCAGGAATATCGATCAAGATTGCTGACTGAAACGAATTAACAAACGTTTGTATAATTTATAGGTTAATCTATAGGAAAGAGCCCGCAAATTAACTTCACTTAAGTTTTAATGCATTTATATTAAAAGTTAATTCTAGAAAAAATTAATGCATTTATATTTTTTCAACAAGTAATGCTACATTTACCACATTTTTATCCCACATTTCTATACTACATGATGTGGCATGTGCATATCATATGATACATCAAATAAATCAACAAAGTGTATTTTAATAAAGAAAGTTTAATTAATAGTTTTTTCAAAGTGTCACTACTACAAGGTTTTCGAAATAGATGACGGGAAACCACCGTCATCTAGAAGGTTTTCCAACCGTCGTGAAATCGACCGCCATCTTAATTTTGCACAAAAACAACGACGGTTAATACCCGACGTCGTTAAGGAATTCAACGTCCAGATTTATTAGGAAACGACATGTAATTACTATATAATTAGCTTAAAATGAAATCTTCGACAACATTAGACGACGGTTTTCTGAAAATTGAGACGTCTAAAGAGTGTTACATGTCAAGATCAAAAGAAAAACCGACGTACAGATAATTATCCACGTCCCTAAAAGAAGGGAAAAAGACTTGGATAAGCTAGAAACCGTCGTGGTTAATTTGTACTATGTTAAACAAACAAAGAAACTGATGTCTAAAACATAAACTACGACGTTCACACAAACCAACAGACGTTTAAAGAGTATTACATGTCATTTGTCTCCCAACAACCACCATAATATGAAATAACCACGTCCTGCACCTAGCATCACCGACGCTTATGTAATTATCCACGTCACGAACTATAATAAAAACCGACGTATTAAGTTTATTCCACGTCTATTTCTTGCGAGACTCGTCGTTTAAATTGCACAAAGAAGGCCATTTGACAGAGTTAGACGTCACTTTTTCTAAATAACAGATGTCTAAAATATTTAAAATGACATAATATTACTCAATATCGACGTACAAAACTATACCCCACGTCGGTATTTGTCAAAGGATGACGTTATAAATAGTATTGCAGGCATGGATAGGAAAACAACCAACGTGGATTATATATTCAACGTCCGTGGCATTAAAATAAAGGACGTGGTTAATTATTTCACCTGCCTTGATGTATGTATGCTCAGAGACCTCAGTTGTTTTAGACTAGCCAACGTGCAGGACATCTGTCAAGGCAGTTAATGGAACTGAACGACCTTTATTTCGTCCTTTAGACGACGGTTTATTTTAAGCAAACCGACTTGATTTCTTTTTCATATGTCTGTTTTTTTGTTTCATGGTCTTTTGCCTTTTCAAAACCCAATGTTGTTTTTATTTTAGATGTCTGTGTTTTCAATATTTTTACCGGACCGTCGTACTTTACAGCTTTAACCTAGCTTTTTTAATTTTTGATTTGTCGTGCCCAAAGCCTGCATAATGAATGTGTGATCAGAATTAAAATGATGTACAAAATTATTAATTAATGTCATACAATTAACTGAATAACTAATGTCATACATTACAACAATCAATCAATCTATATATCTTCACACCCATCTCTAATATTTTCGTTCCCAAACTCACCCACTAGGTCATCAAATGTGTCAACATTTGGTATCCCTCTAATAAATGGCTCACACTCAATTCTAGTATCACCTAGCACATCATCACCAATAACATCGTTATATTCTCTATTAGGTATTGATAACACTACCGACCAACCACGATGCATTGGGTCGTCAACATAAAATACTCATATTTACAAGGGTAAATCCAAGTTCGTCAACTACAAGGCCTGAAGTGTTATCTATCCAATCATACCTCAAGACTGGGATTCTAAACTTTTGGTAGTCAAGATCCCAAATTTCTTGAATAACACCATAAAAACCTATATTAGAGACAATAGGGTTTTTATCCTTGGCACTAGCAACTTGCATAGTATGTACAAGTAAATAAACTCCACTATTTTGGACAGTTCGCTCATCATCTTGTGCCTTGGTATTAAATTTAACACCATTAACAAAATAGCTCCTATATAATGGCACTGCCATGCTTGGACCAGCTGCTAGCCACGTCAAATTTTCTGATACGCCATTAGACTCTTCCCCATTAAGTTCACTTTGAACCTGCAAATTAATCATATATATCTTAATTCAATCTAACATATATAATGGAAGAAAATTAAAAGTTGAATATGCATGTCATTCAATAACATATATATACCTTAAAGTGGAGTCATCGAATGAAAGTGCTATTGTGCTTATCTTACAGCCACTTTGTTCTCTTTCTAAATTTTTTATAAGTGGTCTTAATGTGGATCATATGTTCCCTACATTGACACGAAAAAAACAAGTATTATGGTCTATTGTATATAAGATAAACATAAGGAATAATAATATTTAAAATGGCTCCATATGAAAAATAAAAGTCATACGTACTAGATATAAGGTAGGACTTCCTCCGTATTCTCCAAGACATATAGATGTGTCTGGTTCAACAAGTCCCGATCAACTAAGCTTACTGTGCAACCTGATAATGGCTTCAAAACTCCCATCTTCTGGCTTGAAGGCACTCCAATTGTACTAACATCAGATAAATGCTCAGTGCAAAACTTTATAGCTTTTTCAGCTATATACCGCTTAGCAATGCAACCTTTCGGACAAGTACGGTTCTGAACATACCCTTTTAGTACTTTCATATACCTTTCAAACGGATACATCCATCTAAACAGAACATACCCTTGAAGAAGAAGCACAATCGAGTTATTGCATACCTTGCAAGCTTCTCCTAAACATAACGAATTGCCACAGGGAGCAATTGTTTAATCAAGGTATGACAATCATGAGATTTAAGTCCAAGAAGTCTTGAATCTTTTAAAGATACAAGATTTTTTATATTTGATTCCATCCAAGTGTTCGTCTGCGCATCTATTCAAGTTATGTATCCACCTTCTGCTCATAATTTCTGAAACCATAATCACAACACAACAATCACAACAACTTCATACGAAGTTATAATGTCATCTTATGCCTCCGGTAAGGGCCCTATCCCATTCGGGAATGCATAGTCCTCTCACGTAACCTACGGCTACATGAGATTAGATTTCGATGTGGATGAATTTCGACAGCATCTCGATACAGTTCTTGAGGTGGGCATAGGTATAAATACCTACGTACCACCCGAAGAACGTATCGAGATGACACCGAAATCTCCACAATCGAAACCTAATCCTGTAGCCGTAGATTATGTGACAACACTATGCATTACCAAACTGTCCAAATAATGGGACAATTCAAGAATTAATTGGACTGCAGTCATGCTTTACGCATCCATGCACGAAATCCAACTAATCACGAACAGGAAACTAAGTGTTACTAAACATAAAAATAAAAGTACGAAGTTAATCTAACTTCGTACATCACAACATATTGTGCTACGTCACATACAATTTAACAACATAATATAAATATAACTTCACAAAAAAAATATAAACATAAAAACTAACTTTAACATTTTTAATATATAAAACAAATAAAATACATTCTCAATCGTTCTCCACCAATCGCTAATTACAAATATCCCTAACGAGAACAAAATTAATAGCGTTAGTATGAATTTACATTAATACTTTTAAACTAATGATAAAAAATACTTACTCAATGAACGTATTGAATTCCCAGTAGAAGCAGCGACAGAGAGGTCGAGAGAGAGGCAGAATGCTATTTTTTTTGCATTCTGCCTCTGCAAAGGTAGAATTCTAATATGAAGAAGAAGCACTTTGCGCGACGAAGAATAGAATTCGTCGCGCAAACTGCCGTCGCGAAAAACCACTTTCCCATAGCAAAAAACAAGATTTTCGTCGCGCAATCACGTGTCGACATCAAATTTTTCCGCGACGCAAGATACTCTTCGTCGCACAAACTGTCGTCGCGCAAACAAAAATATCCCACGCAAGTATTTTGGCGCCAAAAAAAAAAAAATCTCTCGTTTTCTTACGCGACGATAACTGGTTACGTCGCGCTAAGTTGTCATTTGCGACGAAAAGTGTCGTCGCACAAGTTTTTGCCGCCAACTAACGGGACCCACTATTTTCTGTCCACCTTTGCGTGACGAAATTTTGATTCATCGCGCTAGGTTTCTTACGTGACGATATCTATCTTCGTGCAAGTGTTTCGCTCCAAAAAAAAAAAAAAAAATACCCGGGCTTTTTGTCTTCAATTTGCTCGACGAAAAAAGTTTATGTTGCGCTAAGACATTTGGCATGACGATATGTTTTGGTCGTGCAAATTTTCAGCGGTATGCGCGACGTATATTTTTTGCTGTCGCCGTAGTGCATTTTGCGCGACGAATTTATCTTCGTCGCGTAAATAGTAAAAAGTAGTAGTGCTACTGAAATGGTCACATTATCTAATCCAGTCAATTTGAAATGATAATGATGTTGAGTTTATTTTCCTGCATTTTGAGACAATTTTCCCTCAGTTAGGGGGAGAAATGGCAGTTCCTGAAGAACATCGTGAAATAGTGTTGAATCGGTCCGTTTTTGTCTCATCAAGATAATGCATATATAAAGTTATGAATATGCAAGTGACTATGAGCATGACAAAAATATAGGTTCTAAAAACTTAACTCCCTATAAGTGTAGATTATTTGAAAAATTCAAGCCCTATAAAAAATAACGCTCTATATGAGGTTATGATCCACATATTCTAATTAATTCATCGTAAAAGAGATGTTTGTCCCATAAGTGACAACATCAGCCCCTGAAGAGGCATTGGTACCCCAAAGCAATGAGATGCTTACAAATTATGCATGAGAATTGTGGGATCACAAATTGATGATACATTT